TATATAATATATATATATATATATATATATATATATATATATATATATATATATATATATATATATATATATATATATATATATATATATATATATATATATATATATATATATATATATATATATATATATAGCATTCCTTCATATGCCAATAAACGACACTCAGCCTGACGTCTATATTTGGGTTGTAGTTGCTGGATTTCGAGGTTTGTAGAATGAGAACGTTTAAGAGTCGGTTTTTCTCGGCAAGAGTGCATCCTGAAACGACGGTTACGCGCCCAAAGCAAATCATGACCATGCAAGACTCCTTCCATGCCCAAATTAACAACCATAACGACAAGTTAACTTATCATCACGTTACTTCTATCAAACGCGTTCAATACCAGCTACTTTTCGCACATTTCGCACTGTCCTCTTTCTTAGGCGATCTTTGCATACCCCTGTCCTTCTGCACACCGTTATTGCCCCTCTGTTGCGTGGCCGCGTAGCCAACTGTGACATTACTATGCTCTCTTCGCATGCGTATCTCCGGCTTACTCGACAGCCGTGAAACACTTCCCACCACGACGTTCCTCAGCACGAAAAATACGAACACCACCAGCATCACAAAGATGAACACGGTCGCAACAATAGTCGTCACTGTAACCGTCGCTATACCAACCCCTGTTCCAGCTCCCAGTACAGATACAGCCTTGGCCACCTCGAAAGCACTCCATGGTTTCTGTAGTTGTTGTTGACTCGGCCGTCTCTTCTCTGCCTCTAGTGGCGCATTTTTCGGTACATCAAAATCTTCTGAAATTGACTGCAGTTTCTTGGTTCGTTCCATGATGCCGAATGTATCTAATAGCATGCTATATATAAAAAGACGTCTGAGATATAGATGGACAGATAAACTAATAGAAATACATGTTGTGCTGGCAAGGCGGTGATATATGTATGGATTGTTCGCGCCTGAAATGCTCTATGTATATTCTAATTATCGAAATATCCATTTGTGTAATAATATCAATGGTCCTAACATATTACCTGAGACAATAAGCCGTGACAGTCACAAATAACCTCCTCCAATTTAAAAGTTCAACGTCAACGCTTACTTATTCGAGATATATAACTCTCTGATAAAACGTTTACACTGGTAAGAAACTAAAAAATGACCTACATTTTGAAATAAACGGACATCCTGTCAATAATTGCTAAAGATATTGAGCCTCACGGCTTCGAACATGCACCTGTAGAGACATATATATGATGCTTTTTAACGCAAAACGCATTGAGGTGAGCATGACAAACTGACAACGACTCAAACCGACTCATTGAAAGCTCTCGCGCAACTCCGAGTAATCAGCCCAGCCCATGTTTGCCCATCCCGCAATACGGCGCACGGCACAGTTTGTTGGTACGTACAGGTGAGGAGAGTTCTGATTGGCTGAATGGCTGAGCCTCACTCAGTGTCAGGCCCCGGGAGGGGCCGAATTTTTTATTATTATTCTTTTTTAACCCCTTTTTTTACAAAACAAAAACAATTACTAAAAAGTACCAATGTATTTCAGTATTTGGCTGATGACTGACTGACCTGGAGACTTGGAGTCCTGGACTCCGGAGTCCTGGTCCTGGAGGCTGGAGTCTGGTGAGTGAGTTGAGTCTGCCCCAGCCTGGAGAAAGGGAGCCCTCCCACTCTCTGGCTGGGAGTGGGGCCGTGGCTAGTGGGTATTTACTACGTGTGGTTTCACTATGTACTATTTAAATACTAGAGAAGTTCATTAGGGAATGTGATTTGTGTCGCTGACTCGCCGAGTGACTTCTTGTGAGAGTCTCAGGTCCGACTCTCTGAGAGCTGTGGTCTGAATTCTGAAACAGAGAATTCCTGTCCGTCCGTCTGTGCTAATCTGTGAGTACTGTATACTGAGCTGTACCTGTACTGTCACTCCTGTGTACACGAGATTCGTATATAAAAATCGTATATATTTCTATGAATAGAAATTTATCACACACGTGTACGAATAATGTTACAGTGCATTCGTGAATCACGAATAACAAAATATACTTATCGATCTCCATTATAATATAATCAATCTGGTCCAGCTGACCTGATAACCTGCAAAGCACACTCAAGGCGTTAGAGTGTGCCGACGACACCGGACACACACTAGGCCACACAAAGTTCCAAAAATATTACTTTATCATCTTCGGAGTGTAAACAAGTCTAACGATCAACATATTTCAAACTCGACACGTTATAATGTCGTTCGCTCAGAGTCAACTAGCAAAGTATGGCTGGAAAGCGGGGGAAGGGCTCGGCAAGGAGAAGCAGGGGCGCTCGCGTGCGGTTAAGGGTGAACTGAAACGTGATTCAGCGGGTGTGGGCCATGCGGGCGACGACTTTGGCTTCAACTGGTGGGATCACTGCTACAACAAGGCGGCAGCGAAGATCGAAGTGGGTGTTTGTGAGAAGGTATGCTGGCAGATGGTGGATAGGTTGGATATAGTGCGATAGTATTAGTGGATCTTGTTGTAAAGGATGTGTCTACAAGGCAGCAGCAGTCTTGTAACTAATATGGGGTCGTACTTAAATGGGGAAGGTGTCGGATCGTTTACACTGCAGTTTCCACAAATCCGGTGTTATCCTGCCGTTTTGAGTTACAAAAAGTTCAACCAGAGGAATATGCAATGTGTTTCTTCTCGCAGTGTTCAGAATTTTCAATGGGGTATTTTAGCTATGAATATGATGTTTAATTTTCAGAATCGCTAATCGTAATATTTGCGTTGCTGGTAACAGGCAATACAAATCGGCCGACAATCTGATAAACTGATTCAAAACTGTTGCGCCGTATGTGCTATACAATTGTTCGTATGAGCAATATGATGTCTTTGTTACATATCCCCACTGATATATCTTCCGTGTTCATTCACTATTGAATGTCTTGCCCGTCTCTACTGATGCTGCATCTTCTGTATTCTATATTTCTTTACAGAGCGGAGATGTTAAGGTTACAGCTATTAAGACCGATGTCAAAACTACCCTGGGTGTGCGTGCAGTACCGGCTAATCTGCTCTACGGATGTTTTGTGAAGGCGAAAGGCGACGATGCAGAAAGCTCTGACGACGAGAGCAAAGACTACTCGTCGTTAAGTAAACTTACAAGTGAGGAGATATTTAAAGCATGCGGGGGAAGGACTGCCCACAAAGCTGCCCGACATGGACATCGCCAGGTATAGATATATATATAGCCGAATAATTTCATACACAGATATATTTATAATGTTACAATTCTCTAGTGTAATATTCGATTCATACCGTGTGTAGTACTACGTTCAGCATGTGTTTCTTGCTTTTGATCCGTCTTATAAAATGTTTACAGACGACTACATGCTTTGGAATGTAATTGTATGCGCGTTCGACAGCGTTGGTATATGACTTTGCCGAAATGTCTGGAAAGCCTTGTCACACTACATCGACTGTAATATCATTGTTCGTCGGTGTATAAAGCTACATTCGGCTCTCCGATATTGGTCCCTAGTTTAATTTGAAGCCAAACCAGTGACACTTGTTTATTATCGCTCATTTCAGGTTGCGAAGTTGAACCGGACAAACGAAGCTGGCCTGATAGCCTCTTTAGAGGCAGCCACCTTCGATTTATTGAAAAGCACAAACTTGTTAGAATTAGACGGCGACGGTGGAAGTTCATCATCAACGGATTCGGCAGTGTTGCAAGTAGAGGCAGAAAAGTTAGAGAGGAAGAGGTTACGCAAGGAAAAGAAATTAAGGAAACAGAAAATATTAGACACCGAATCGGAGGAGTTATCGGTGAAGTCCAAGAAAACGAAAAGTAAGAAGGATAAGGTGAACAAAGAACATAAGGTCAAGAAACAGAAGAAAGATAGAGTTAAAAACCACGTGGCAGTGGTTGAGGCGGTGTCGAATGACAGCGGAGAAAGGGAAGACGCAAAGAAGAAAGTTAAAACGAAAAGTAAAGAAGGGAAGAAGCGAAAACGTGACAGGGAGGTTGATACATCCGAGTCTGTCAGCGTGGATGGGGATACGCAGATTAGGAAAAAACGTAAAAAGTCTAAGAAGGAATAAAAGTAACCAATGTTATAGTACCCTTCACTGGCTGGAGAACATGCTTATGCTTGCAAGCACTATTTGACGATGCTAATGCGAAGGGATAAATCGACTTCTGTATGTTCACGCCGTGTTATCCCGATTAACCATTGGCCTTTATTTCATGTTAGTCGTATGACTAGTCCGTTGTTATCGTGGGCAGCATTGTACAAAGTGATGTGTGTTTCCATTATACACTACTCCCGTTCTCCGTCCACACCACCTTACGTTGACTGCGTGCTGACAAAACCAGATGAATGCGCCCATGGAATCCTTAGCCAATTCATATCCGACTCGAGTGCCGTGTCACAGGCGTTTCTCGTCATTGAGTACAACACAGTGCTGTGTTCGAAGCTAGCGCGACAGGCTTAAAAGCCAGTGGAGGCATCCGCCGCATGCATATCCATGGATATACGAACATTTTATATCCATGGATATACATACGCTTATCGTTTCTGCTGAGACGACAAGCGGTTCCCGGTACTTTCCATACCGAGTAGGAGTTCTATTGTGGCAGCGTATGTGCATCCCCTCGATTATCTCACTATACGTTCATATTTATACTCGAAAGTTCGGTACTTGAACCTCATAGTTTCCTGCGCGATCTTCACCTCGTGTGGACAATAAGCGGCGCTACCTTGTGTTCCTCTAATTAATTTTCTCGAATGAGTGTCGACTCTCGACATCCTCGAGATATCTCATGGAGCGTTTGCCGGTTATCTGTCGGTGTGTTCGACGCTCTCCTCCAATTGCAGACTGCAGCGCTTGTCTCCGAGATAGGTCTTGACACTCTCGCGCTCAAACCATTCTGTGCGGTCGACAAATGTTACGTCTTCGTACAGTCGAATCGGAGCAAATCCACCTGTATATCGACCTGTGCCAGACCCAAAATTGAAGCGGATGAGACAATTATTTTGGCACATATGCCAGTACGGCGTTCCAAATATCTGAATGCTGTGGCTCATTCGGAAGAAAACTGGGTACACTTTCAGCACGACACATACTGGATCAGATGTCGACGGACACAATCTTATGAATTGCAATACGACCAAGCAATCCTAACAGCAGTCATCACATACGTTATCTTCCAAAAGTACACTAAAGACAGTGTGACTACAATTGATTTACCGAGGATTTCTTGTGAAATTTGTACATTGCTGGAATATCATATCGTAATTCGGCCACCACTTCCATTTTGACACCCCATTGCTCGGCCTTCTTCGCAATATGCTGTAAATACGACAGATAATGAGAGGTCATAAATTCCAGTCGGATTGCAAATACACTTGTACAGAGAGTCGTATGAGAGAACAGCACGTCAAAATAAACGCATCATGACAAAAAGGAGAGATGTGTGTCTTGTATGAGAGAACGTCTAAATAAACGTATCATGACAAAAAAGAAAGATATATGTGTCGTGTATGAGAGAACAACACGCCTGAATAAGCGTATCATGACAAAAAGAAGAGATATGTGTGTTTTGTATGAGAGAAATATGTGTGTTTGGTATGAGAGAAGAACACGCCTAAATAAACGTATCAT